CATAATCGGTATCTATGTTTGTTTTAGTTTTTTTTTTTTTTTTTTTTTTTTTTTTATCTTGAGAAAAAATCTGACATGGTTTAATTTTATTGCTTTATAATATAAAAGTTTTTTAAATCAGTTTTTAGAATATATCTTGGCCTTCCAAGCTATTTACAGCCATAATGGGTCCTCTTTATTTATATCAAACACAATATATACATATATCAAATATGATTATATCTAGATAACAGCCCGCGTAGTAACGCGGGTTAAAATTTATGTTTTCAATGAACTAAAAATATTGCATGTGGTAAAAATTGAAAAATCATAAAATTAACAAAAAGTTAATCAAAATTAATTAAATATTAGATTTTCTAATATAGATTAGGGCATGTCTAATAGACGGGTTATTTATTTTCAAAATAAAATTAAAATTTTATTGGAAGAATGTTATATCCAAAGTATTACAAAAATATAGATAATTTTGTAAGTCAGTTAATTGTTTTTTGAAAAACATTATTTATGTATCATACATATTTAAAAATCATTATTAAAAATTCATTATAAAAATCTAGTAATGTTAAATCACCAAAAAAATTGGGGGCTATTCATCATATTTCATAATATTACTATTACCAAATTTTTCAAAAAACTTAATTTAGATATTATACTCTAAACATGATTATACCATTATCCTAAAATTGTTATTTCCTAACTTCAAGTTTTTTTTATAAAAACTATTCTCGCATATTTTTTTTACTCTACAATTTATTGTATTTCTTAAACTTAATTAGTTATTAAAAATTAGATGGTAAATTTCTTACAAATTAATATCAATCCAAAAAATGAGTTATAGTGTCGTTTAGATAAACATTAAGAAATATTTTTAAATATGAAAATATACAAAATTATATTTTTGAAAAAAAAAATTTAGAAATCAATATACTACGAATTATATTGACTTTTGTTATCCTTATTTTAAGTTAATAATATCTTTTTTAGTTCCTTTTTATCCACCTTTCTTGTTTCATCCAATGAGATTGCACTATGGCATATTACATTTAAAATAAATTAAAAATTAAAAAATTATAACATATTTAAAAAGTAAAAACATTTAATAAACACATTTATTTTGTTAAAACCCATAATCTCGTTTAATTGTACCATCTAAATCTTAATTCTCTTTTATAAATTGAAACAGATAAATCATCTGGTTTAAAGAGAATTTTTGAGAAATACCCCTTTTGGTGTACCTCTTTTTAAAAATACCCATCTTTTCTATCCATTTTCAAAAATACCCCCTTTGAAATATGAAAAATTATAAACTTTTATATGGTTGATAAGGTATATCAAGATCATTTTTAGACACTTGAGACATTCATTTTTTTTTGGCCATGATCGATCTGTTTCATATGCTTCTTAACTATCTTCTAAGATTTCTAGAGACTATTCTTAGACACTTGAGACATTCATTTTTTTGGCCCATTGCAATTTATGTGATGTTTCGTCACAAACTTATCAATGAACTCAGTGTGCTCAAAGAGTTTTTTTTTTGGTAAGAGATAGGAGACAAATGTCTCCTATATGTTATTCAATAACAAAAAAAAAACAAATTACATACAGACATTCCGTGAAAAAGAAATGTCGTTTACATTATTCTAGCTAAACTGAATCATAAACAACCGAGCAAGTTTCTAACAATTGAAAACCAAGCGATAAAGTAAACCCGTCGACTAGACGGTTAGCTTCCCATTACAAACAAATGAATAACCTGAAATAACCAGTTCAAAACTAAGTGTGCTTAAAGAGTTTAGAAGTGAACTAAACTAATCACAAGTTTTGGTAATGACAGATAAATAAAAACAAAACAAGGTGCCAATGTTGGCTTTCACGTGGCCCATCCTAGCTTTTACATTCCCACCATCTCTCTTTCATTATATACCCCAAAGTTAAATTATCTTAAAAACACAAAATAAATAAGATGAAATAGAGAGAAGATCCAAATCTCTCTATCTCATCGGTAAAATCTATAAAAAAAAACCAAAAAAAAAAAACCCAAAAAAACATATATCCAAAGAATCTCTACAACAAAACAATGCTCTGCTATGTCGGTAAAGCCACCAAGATTTTCATTTTCATCGTCACCGTCGCCGTCGTCATTGGTCTCGTAGTAGTTTTCGGTGTTCTCCGCCGTCACTCTCACCATTGCTCCGGTGACTATTGCTCACCCTCTTCAACCGATCCTTCTTCTTCTTCCTCTCCCTTTATAACTCCATTCCCAAACCCAAACCCAAACCCGAACCCGAACACCCCTGTTCTCGGATCTTCACCTCCCACTCCACCAGATTCATCATCAACACCAAACCCATCTACTCCGATTCCTCCAAATCCGCCCTCACCGATCGTAACAAACCCTCCTCCTCCGTCCACACCTAATCCGAATCCGAATCCTCCGCAGCAATTCTCACCTCCTCCGCCGGATTCTGAATCAACCACCTCTCCTCCTCCGCCTACGACGGAAACAGCAATCCCACCACCGCCTCCTTCGCCAGTCTCGGCATCTCCGCCGTTAACTCCGCCGAGCTCCGTCGTCAACACTCCTGCTCCTGTGCATGCTAAACTGGTCAACGACTAAAAAAACCAAACCTTTTTGTAAATTTCCGACAATTTTTTTTTGTTACTTTCACTTTCTCAGTTTCTTGAACTTTGATTCGTTTGTTTCTTATTTTTCTAATTTTTTAGATTCTCTAATCTTTAATCTTTAAATCAAATTCAAAAACTTTATTTTCAATATTCATTAATCTTATGTTACACTTCACTATATAGCAAGAGATCCTTGATCAATGTTATAAACATTTATTTCTTTGTTGTGTTCGTTATTTGCTAATTGCAATAATCTTATATTGAGGAATGAGTTGTCTATATCTATCTTTATCATATGATTAAAAAAGAGAGTTTTGTTGTAAATGAAGAAGTCTTTTGTGTTGTTTTAGCTTTGAAGTTAATTAAAGGAAGAGTATCATTATTATTGTCTTAATGCTCACCAGTCAAATCTACCTTTTATTTTATTTTGCTGGCACACTATACATATAATTGTTACATTATACATTGAAATCATTTAAATGTGAAAAAAAAAAACAATAGTGAGGAGGGGAAGGGAGCAGAGACATGAGGTGGGTCAATGGGTTAAGAATCCCATGAAATTTGTCTGACTAATTTTTGACTAGTTCAATAATCTTTACAAGATTCTAAAATTTTTTCTAATCTTTGTTCCGTACCTTATTACTTCATTCTTAAAATCATTTTTCTTGGTTTGCTTTACTTTATCTTTTGTGTTGTTTCCATAATTTATTAAGAACGAGTTAGGTGTTTACTAAAAGAAATTTCAGTATTTATATTGTACAAAAGCATCTAACTGATGTTGGTACAATGGTGCATTCATAAAAAGTGTTTCTGATGAAACCAACAATTTTCTTTGGTAAATGTAGCAAACATTTATGATTTTCCTCTTTTTTTGTGCGTATAAAACATACTAAAATTGAACTTACATCCAGGTTAATTGTATTGTATTGGTAGGTGTTATAATAATATGGGCCATTCCATGTCGTATAAAATAATTTATTATGGGCTTTACTAAATGGGTCCAGACCAAAACTTTACTTATAGTTTAGCAATGATCTTACAAAGTACAAACGCATATTGGATAAAGATATGATTATTGTGTTGTGGGACGCCTTGTGCTCTCAGTGCTCTCATCACTATTGTTGTTACAGTGAACTGAACTTCATTATAGAAATGGAAACGAAACTACAAAGAAAACAATTTTATATCGTTGGAATCGTTATCCTATAAATGGACTATGATTCGTACCACTTGATTCTTGCCTTTTGCAAACATTGTTTTGATAAAGTTCTTATAAAACATTTTGTTGTCACGTGGACTCCTAACTATAAGAGTATACATAGATGGGCTTTGAAGGGTTGAGTTTTTTCTTAGAGTTCAAGGGATGGGGCGTTGGGCAATAAAATCTAGCTCTCAAGAGCAAATCATTCAGTGTTTTTTAATTCAATGGAATACTAATAGTTTGATTTTATTCTTCTTATCAAAGTTTCACATCTGATTATCATCACTAGCTCTGTTGACCAATCCCTATGCTTCGGACTCGTTGGGTGACATCAACCTTATCATTTGAACATGATTGTAATATAATATTTATGTAGTCAAACTTTTTAAGTAAACAGAAGTGCATATAGTATATTCTATCTTTGATTTGAAGTTTTAAACAATAATGGGGGACACAAACCAAATAATAGTGGTCTAGTAATTTATCCGGTAGAAGAAAAGTTGCTTCGTATGTTTATGGTAGAAATCTATACTATTAAAAGGGAATCATATGTTTATGGTAGAAATCTATACTATTAAAAGGGAATCATTTTGTATAAAGTGATCATAGTATATACAATTAAAAGGATAGTTAAAAAAATAAACCTATCTATATTTATGGAAATAATATTGATTTGGTTACCATAAAAATAGTCAATTAAATTAAAAATTAAACATATCAAAACATATTTAATCTAAATTATATTTTTTAAATATTTTCAAAAACAATAATCTATAGTTTTAAAAGGGAAGCATTTTGTATAAAGTGATCTTAGTATATACAATTAAAAGGATAATTAAAAAAGGATAATTAAAAAACAAACATATCTATAATTATTGAAAATAATATTGATTTGGTTACCATAAAAATAGTCAATTAAATTCGAAATTAAACATATGTAAACATATTTAATCTAAATTATTATTTTTAAATATTTTCAAAAAAATAATTTATGTTTATAAAATCTAATAAAAATTTTATCATATATTTTAGAAAAATGATATTTTAGGATAAATAAAACAAAAACAATTATGTTAGATTAGGAAATAAGCGACTAATCAAATTCTACATAGCATAACATGTGGAGAATATACAACATAGTTAATAATATCATCAAATTTTTTAAAATTATATAATATTAAAAAATAATTACATTTTATAAATTTAAAAATTATATAATCTTAAAAACTAATTACATTTTATGTAAACCCAAATTTATAGTCAAACACCCTTAAAACATATCTATCCGATATTGTTTTTAAAATGTTCGGATCTTTAAATTGTCAAAATCTTATGTTTGGATATTCCCAACTAATTCCCTGCAAAAAAATCAATATAAAGAAAATCTAGAAAACAAATTGTAATCTCCATTAATTAGCACATATTATACTAACCATATTAGAGATCTTATAAATATTTATCAATAAAAAACTTTGGAATTTAAATGTACTAACCATATTTTGAATTGTTTAAATATAAATTAATAAACCATGTTTACTTATCAAATATGCACACAATAATAATTACTATCACCTAAAATATAGATATTTCTAATTCAAAAAATAACATAATTATAGGAATAAAAAAAATTACGAATGCAATTAAAGAACATTGTTAAGGTAGTCCATAATCGTAATTAGGTTTACCTCAAAAATAATATATGGTTTCACATTTATAAGCACAAAAACTGGTAGTTATATTTTAACTATGAAAAATTCACTAATTTGGTAAGAGTCAACTTTGGGACATTTAAGTCTCTACTTTAGGACAATTATTTTAAAAATTTTAAGTATATTTTTTTTTGATAGCATATAAATGGGGTTATTTATAAAACAAATATAATCTTATTGGAAATAATGGGTACGAGACGGGAGCGGATAATTCGAAAAAATAAAATATTATCCAAACTATTTTTCATAAAAAGCATGATGAGAACTAAAAGTAACGAGAGGAGACCATAAAATCAAGAAACTAAATTCAATTTTAATTTTCAAATATCAAATAACATGTATGATACATGAACATAAAATTTGAATTGTTAATTTTAGTTTTAACTATTTTATTTCAAATATCAGAACATCAAATAACAGGTACGGGAAATTTGAAACACAAAAAAAATCATCTAAACTATTCATGATAGAATATGAGATGAAAATTTTGGGTAACGTGAATTTAAGAAGAACATATGGAGACATGCTATTTACTAAAATGGATTACAGGAAATGTATTTTTTGCGGGTCAAAATATTTTAATATGTATTGAGTTAAAAATATTTTTAATGTGGAGCATGCATAGCTGACGTGTTTGATAGCTCATGGTTCACACTCAATATGGATCTGCTATCATGTCGATCCGACATTCACAAACTTCATGAAAGCAAACCAATATAAGTTTATGTTTAACCTAATTTAAAAAAAAATAATAATCAAATATTGAATTGGTACTGGTTTAGATTATAAATGTTAGTAACATTCCTAAAAGTTACGTTTACAAACATAATCCCGTACGTATATAATAGATTTTAAAATTTAATAATAAATTTTGTTTTTGAAATCCATCCCGCACGTACGTGCGGGTCCAAATCTAGTTGATTCTTAAGAAAGAAAACAAATGGTGAACGAACATTTTTTGTTTTTTCTTAGTTTTATTTGAGCAAATCTTATTGAGACGAATTATAAAGGGTTAGTTAAATTTTAGTATTCAAATAACCTAAAAACAAAGAATTTAGACTCAATAAAAGAAAAATTAGTTTTCTTTGTCTGACACACATAAAATTACTATGGTATCCCTAGGTTCAGTTAAAGAAAAAAAAAATTAAAAAAGGAAACATGTGAATCATCTGACACATTATTAACAAACGACGCTTTTGGACAGAGGGAGATATGCAAACAAACTATTGTTATCAGGTAACAAAAGAACGTTTAGACGATACCTTCTTATCAAGTAACAATAATAACCAATTAACAATTATTTTATATGATAAGATCAAATTACATTTACAATTACAATAATATACATTGTTATCAGGTAACTAAAATCATTTTAACAATCTATTGTTATCAAGTTAACCACTATTTTTTCATTTTAACAATATACTTATTAAGTTTCTGTATTTTGACTAAATTTTTTTTTAAACTACTATTTAGTCAACCCAAACCAAAATATAGTTTCTTTTAATTATAAAATTTAAACCCTAATCACTAATTTGTTATTTATATATTTTTTTTTTGTTAACAAATTTAGGTCCTTAATCTCGATACAGTTTAGATACATTTTATTTTTTTTAATTATTATATAATTTAAATATTTTTTTCTGAGTGTATTATTTCTAAGTTATGAGATTTTTCATGATATTTTGTCATGCCTAAGATCGGGGTCGTCGTGGTGGTCGCCGCTTACGCACAAACAGAAAAGAATTTGGGAGAAAGCAAAGAAGCAACGTGGTTCTCCTCCTTCGTTGACTTGTCTTCATCACACTGACTCATCATCGCACATGTGATGTGGCCAATATCTTCTCCTAGTTATCCGTTGACCTTTCATATCTCTTAGTCAACAAAGCAATCAGCACCTCATAATTTATAACTTTTTTTCTGATTCAATATTTGATGAATTTTCCATTTTTTTGGCTCAACACATTATAGAAACAACATACAATACATTTCCATACATATCACATAGACTCTGATAATAAACTAAGACCGTGTTTGGCTATGGACCCCTTTCTACTTAGACCTCATATCAAGCAGTCTTAACGAAAGGGTAAATCTCATACCTAAAGTTACAGCTCCCACCCACAACTCTCCCTCCTTCTTTACCATCACAACAGTTAGGAAGCTCCCCAATAATTCCATCCAAACATGCCTTACAACTTCCACTTCTCAAGTCCCTTGTACACTGCACTAGTCCATACAACTTCTTTCCAATATTTTTCTCCCCTGTAGCAAACAGCTTCTGGTTGCCTCCAGTAGTCGCTGTCTTCGTCAGCTCGGTTAAAAGATCTCTCGTCTGTGTGTTGAAGGATGTTGGATCGCTCACATTGTTGACGTTGTACAGCGCAAACCTGTTCTCGTAATCGATTCTCCCGAAGAAATTGGTCGAGGAATACTTGACAAGACAGTTGTCGTACCATATTATTCCCGCCTTGTTGTTGGGACATCTCTTACTTATCTGTCATGCACGTAATACCAACATCAAGAACAATCGATAACCTAGTTTTGTTTTGTCGTACTTAAATGGCAACCTATCTAATAGTATATATTAGCGGTTTCTGTATAAAATATCGCTGAGATGTCGAAAAAGCTTGTGTATGTGTTATATAAAAGTATTGTGTGGTTACCTCGGGGATGGCGGTTGCAAGACAGGAGCTGCAGTCAGAGGAAGAGGCATCACCACGGCAAAGGGCTAAACCGTTGACGTTGTCTGGAGTGTTACCAGTGGAGGAGGTGGCAAAACCGGTGGATGGAACTTTGTAAGAGAGCTGACTAAAGAGATTGTTGAGATTTGACTCGTAGGTACTTTTCGAGGTGAAGCTTCCTTCAATGTCTGAGCACTTGTGGTAGAGAAACGCATTGCTCTGGCTTTGGCACAAAACGTTCTGTATAGATAGAAGCTGTATGGCTAAGGCCAAGATAGGTAACCAAACCATGCGTTTTGATGAAGAGAGTGAAGACATTGTTTTGAAAATCCTTTTTGATATTATTATGGAGGTGTTTTATTTGGTTGAAGAAATGTTAAAGGTAGGGATGTTTTTATAGTGGTTTAGATGATTTTGGTCTTTGGGAGATTTTTTTTATTTATTGATTATTCGAAGAGTTGAAATATTCATTTTTGTACGGTCAGGATTTGGTCTTTTTCAAATATTGAATGTCCGTTTTGAATTGATAAACAAAAAAGAAATCAATATAGTTGATTATGTCTTTACCAAAAAAAAGAGTAAACAATAATGTCAAAACAGCATTTGTTTTTGTCCCTTTGGATTGATAAAGCTTCTAGATGAAATTATAAATATGAAAGGAGTTGAGGGAGGTGAGGGATAAGCCAATGAAAAAGTCAACATTCAAATATTTGACTGAGTGTAACTCTTACTAAGATCCAATGACACAATCAACGTTTATTAGTGTAAGATGTTTGTCAAACGTCATTTGTTAAACAAACACATCAGAAGAAAAAAGACTAGAGATATTAATATTGAATAGAACTAAAATATTAAAAATGTAGCCTCTAGTTATCAAACAATCCTTAAAGAAATGGCCTAAAAGATATCAAAAACTAAATCTCATCGTTACTATATTATTGTCAAGAAATGTGTTAATATCTAAGACATATATATAATCATCAAAGAACCCTTTAACTCCTAAGGAAAGGGTATAGTTCATACCTAAGACTACACTCTGTTCCCAAAACTCTTGCTCCTTGTTTAGCATCACAACACTTGGGAAGCTCCTTAATACTCCATTCCAAACAACCCTTACAATGCAATATGTCTTGCGCACACTGCACCATTGCATACAGTTTTTTCTCCCCGAGCCTTTTCTCACCCGCTGCGTAAAAGAACATGTTTTTGTTTGGTCTGTTGGGTCTAGTGGCTTCCACCATTAGCTCGTAGAGGAAATCCCTCGTTTTCTTGTTGAACGATTCGGTACCCTCGATCACGTTTTTTGGGTTGTGCATAGAGAAGATGTTCTTGTAATCATTTTTCCTCGGGCCTGGGGGTAATTTGGCCGAAGTAATATAGAGAAAACATTGGTCGTACCATACTATTCCTCCTTTGTTCCTCTGACATCTCTTACGAAGCTGTCATACACATACATATTTTGTTTCATTATGAATGATGGTTTAAATTTCGAAAGCATAAGCAAAAAAAAGAAAGCTTTTTTAATTTTTTTTTTTTTTTTTTTTTTTTTTTTTTTTTTTTTAAGCTTTTCAATTTCATATTGTATAATAATCTCATTCAACATGATTAATTACTATACGTATCAAGATCAAAATACTATAATGACTTTTTATATATGGGACCGGCTAATTAATAATGTTGAAGTGACATTACCCCAGAGAGGGCGGTGTTAAAGCAGGAGAGGCACTTGGAGTCGTAAGAGTCCCCGCGGCACTGTAATACGATGGTGATGAGATTGGGAACATCGCCATGAGATATGTGAATGAAACCGCTTGGATAAGAATAGGTTAAGACTTGTCGGATGAGAAAGTTGAGGTTTTCTTCGTACTCATCTCCAGTCCTATATTTCCCTTCACTAACAAGGCATTTGTGGTTGAGATAGTCATTGGTAAGGTTCAGACACGAAACGCTGCTTATGAGAAGGAGTTGTATTGCCAAGATAGGGATAGAAACTAGGCGTTTGGATAGAGAATAGGAAAAGTACATTGTCTTGGATTTTGATTAAGGAAGGATGCTAGCTACGTTAGACCATCTCCAAAGGGAGAGTCTTAGCAAAAAAGTTTAGAGTTTGTGTGATTAATATGATTAAAAATAAATCAAAATATTAATTCACTTTAAGCTGCGCCCCTTAACTAACGGATGTAAGCATCGGTCTTTAAAGCCACATGTTTAATTTTTACTGGGTTAGAACTGTAGAGAAGGAAAAAAAAACTGGGGAACGAAAGATTTGGAAGTAAAGGAGACATGAGGCTGTGAAACTTCGTGCTGGGAATTGTTCTGAAACGAGAGTTTGAGCTTGGTGAGGTTGTCGAAGAGCTTACAAGAGACTTTGTTAAAGAAAAGAAGACTATCGCTGTCGAATTCAGACGTCACGCGGAGCTTTGGTCTGTTGGCAGTCGTGAGAAAGATGAAAGAGAAGGAGGAGGAGGAGGAGGAGTGGTGAGGGTAGAGTTCTGAGAAAGTGGATCTGTCATTGAGATTGGATTTGGGAGAAAATCTTTTTTAGAGTTTACCATTGGAGAAAGGAAAATTAATCTTTTTTTAAGAGTTTCACATATTTAAATTAATTATTAAATTTAATAAAAATTTGATTAACACCCCAAATTAAGCATCTCCAAAGTTAGTAACAATTTGTCTCAAAATGATATTTAAATGTTTTTCCTTGTTTGTAACAGACAAGAGAGAGGGTTTGTGTATATTTCGGCGAAGAATGGGGAGGGCCAAAGAAAAAGTCAAAGTTCAAATATTTACACTATAAAACTCTTTAAAAATAGGATCACATGATACAAACCTTGTCTTACGCCACTTGTTTATGAGCAAGGATATATGTTATATAATTTTTGTGTGTCTATAAGGGATGTATGTTAATATACAAAAAATAAAATAGAAGATATTAAACATGTTTTTCTTTTTTGGTAATATTGTTACGAATGATTAAAGTTTCATTTATATTATTCGTAAATCAATTTTTGGCTAAATATCCAAAAGTCTATATGATTAATAATAGATAAGTTTATCTTTTTATGTAACATTCTAATAAAAGGTGAACTTCCTTTTTTGTCGATAATGAAAGAGACACATAAACAAAACAGGAAAGCGAAGCGACAAAAGAAACAAAACACAAATACGTAAAAGCTCAAAAAACACAATGAGAGAGCATACAAAACCAAAACGAAAATTGGTTTTAAGTCCGTAGAAAAGGGTATAGCTCATACCTAATACTACAGCTAGTACCCAAAACTCTTGCTCCTTGTTTACTTTGGCAGCATTTTGAAAGCTCATTGATACTCCATTCCAAACAAACTTTACACTGAAATATGTCTAGCGCACACTGTACCATTGCATACAACTTTTTCGTTCCAAGCCTCATCTCACCCGCCGCATAACTACCCATTTTGGGTTTATTAGCTTCCAATATTAGATTGTAGAGGAAGCCCCTAGTCTTTTTGTTGAACGACTCTGCATCCTCGTTCACGGTCTTTTGGTTGTGCATAGAGAAAGTATTCTCGTAATCGATCATCGTTGGGGGTGTATCGATTGTACTAACATCGAGAAAACATTGGTCGTACCATATTATTCCTCCTTTGTATCTCTGACATCTCTTACGAAGCTGCCATATACATATCCATATATCTTTTGTTTCAATTAGTTATTTTAATATTTAACATATGCTATATATGACGGCTAGTTAATATGAAGTGACATTACCTCGGCGACCGCGGTGGCATAGCAAGAACTGCATCTAGACCCGTAGGAGTCGCCACGACACTGAAATACAATGGTGATGAAATTCGGAGCCTCGCCATGAGATGTGTGTGTGAAACCGTCTGGAAATTTTTGGGTAGATGATATATGATTGATAAGATGGTTAAGGTTTTCCTCATACTCGCTTCCCGGCTTATATTTCCCTTGATCGACGAGGCATTTGTGGTGCAAATATGCATTGGTAAGGTTCAGGGATGAAACATAGCGTACGAAGATTTGTATAGCCAAGATTTGGAAACAAACAAAGTATTTAGATAGAAAATATGATGAGTGCATTGCTTCGTATTTAATTGTTTCTCCAATGAATATGAAGTGTACGTTGAGACTCGGAAGGATTTTAGCTGGTTGGCTCCATTAGTCACTAGAATAACTGATTATCTCAAAACGTTATTCTTTTGTTGTGACCTTATTACAAAATTCGATTGAACATTTTAGTTTGTGGAAGAAATGTTTTGGTGTGTCTGTAACAGACAAGAAAGAGAGATGAGTTTGGGTATTTTCGGCGAGGGATGGGGAGGGCCTATGAAAAAGTCAAAAGCTTAAATTTTTTGCTAAGTTAAAACTCATAAGAAAATATTACAATCACAAGGTTAATTCGTATACCACTATTTTAAGCAAGGAGCAATAGGGTTTTGACTCTCGAGATTTTGCTAAAGTATTGATAATGTGGGTAAATGTTGTTACAGATATTTCTTTTTGTATATGATTTTACCAACGGCCCTTTAGATATGTGAAAGTAAATAGAGGAGAAGAAAGCTATATATGAGTCTCCTTATTAGTAAATCAAGTCAAAGGATTATGGAAAACGAGGCTTTGGACCTTGTTCATTAAGGGTATATCTTGGACCTAAGAACATAAAAATTTGCAAGAAGCAAAAGAAAAAAGAAACCAACAAAGAAAAGAAAAGTAAAAGCTCAAAAACAGATTTGGAAAGCAAACAGATTGAATTGTGTGCTACATCATCTTCAAAGAGTCTTTAAAGTCCTAAGAAAAGGGTATAGCTCATATCTAACATTACAACTCGCACTCAAAAACCTCGCTCCTTGTTTACCATTGCAGCACTTGGGAAGTTCCCTAAGGATCCATTCCAAACATTTTCGACATTGCAAGGTGTCTTTCGCACACTGCACCATTGCATATAATTTCTTCGTCCCAAGATTCTTCTCCCCCGAAGCATAAAAGACAAGGTTGACGCCGTCTGGTTTAATGGCTTTCAGCACAAGCTCATTGAGGAAACTTATTGTCTTCTTGTTGAACGACTCTGGATCCTCGTTCACGTTTTTTGGGTTGTGCATAGAGAAAGTATTCTTGTAATCAATCTTCCTTGAATTTTCATCACTGATCGAAGTAATGATGAGTAAACATTGGTCGTACCATATTATTCCCCCTTTGTGTCTCTGACATTTCCTTCGAAGCTGTTATATAAATATACAGTACTAATTTTATTTATGTATTAAGGTCAAGTTTTATGTACATAACTGACATGTGTTGACGTTTTCTTAACCTATATATACTTTGATATAGTTATTATCGATTTTAGTCACGTTTTCGTAAATCATACAAGTATGTCGACGATAGTAAAAATATGTATTAAATCTTACCTTAAAAATAACAAATTATTATAATTTACCAAATTGTTGTAATTTACCAATGGTCCTTAAGATATGTGACAGCTAATTGAAATATTTGAAGTAACATTACCCCGGTAAGGGCGGTGGCAACGCAGGAGCGGCAATAGGACTCGTAGGAATCGCCACGGCACTGTAATATGATGGTGACAGAATCGGGAGCATCGCCACGCGATATGCCTATGAAACCGTCTGGAAATTTATAGGTAGAGACGGACTTAGTGAGAAAATTGAGATTTTCCTCGTACTTACCTCCAGGCTTATAGTTCCCTTCACTGACAACGCATTTGTGGTTTAGATAGTTATTGGTAAGGCTTAGGGACGAAACACTGCGTACGAGGAGGAGTTGAATGGTGAAGATAGGAACATAAAGGAGGCGTTTGGATAAAGAATATGAAGAGGACATTGTATTTGTTTTGTATCCTCTTTCAAGAAAAGAAAAGTTTTTTTTAAAAGAAATAAGATAATGAAATATCTTTTTTTTTTCGTTACTTGATTATGATCTGTTTTTGTTAAAGAAAAGTTTTTCTTTATTTTTTTTTTTCTTTTGATAAATATTTTTATTTGTTTGTAACAAACATGAGAGAGGGGTTGTGTATTTTTTCGGCTACGGATGGGGAGGGCCAATAAAAAAAAAGTCAAGATTTCAAATGTTTTACTAAGTTAAAGCTCTTAGAATACAAAATCACACGTATGCGACCTTGTAATTTTCTTAAACTGTAACATTCATTGATTTCTTATGGAAAAGCTTTATATTATTCCATGCATTGTGCATTATGAAAAGCGCAGGTCAAAACTAAATATAGCATAAAAGTATTATAGTCCACAAAATGACATATTACGATGTTTTTTTGTTTTTTTTTTCTGGTTTTTGAATAAAACATTGTTAGCGTTGTTTACTGATTTGAGAGTGAGAGAGTCTGCAATGCTTTGTAGCCTTGTAAGTATTTTATCTCACTGTAGCAGATTTTTCTTCTCTTGGTCAATGTTTGACGAAGATCTTTCCACACAACGAGTTTCATTACCTTTTATTATAAAGAATAAAGGTTTTGCAAAAGACAAATGAGAATGTAATGACACGTATAATTGAAAAAGAAAGAGACAATTTTCTCTTATTAACTTCTCAAATATTGTAGCATTACTTTGAAAGGTCTTCATTAGTCTAAAATATAAGTATACACTGATTGTTGAAGATCCAAACAAGATTTGTTACAAAACCAAACAATATATAATAAAGACGCAAACAAAACCAGAACAAAGTTGGAGAGATGTCAAGAGAATGTGTTTGGTATTAACATCAAAACGGTCTGTTAACTCCTAAGAAAAGGGTATAGCTCATACCTAAGATTACAGCTCATACCCAAAACTCTCCCTCCTTGTTTACCATTGCAGCACTTGGAAAGCTCTCTGATACACCATTCCAAACAAACCTTACATTGCAATATGTCCGATGCACATTGCATCATTGCATATAGTTTCGTCGTCCCGAGCTTTTTCTCCCCCGCAGCGTAATATGTAGACTGGTGTTCGACCACAGTGGGATAAGAGGCTTTTCGCACCAGCTCGTAGAGGAAATCCTTTGTCATCTTGTCAAATGATCTTGCTTCCTTGTTCACGTTTTTTGGGTTTTGCATTGAAAATGTGTTTTTGAAATCAATCTTCCTTGGGAGTTGGGGTTTGAACTTTGAAATTACAAGAAAACATTGGTCGTACCATATTATTCCTGCTTTGTCTCCTTGACATCTCTTGTGAAACTGTCGTATGCACATTTTAAATGACGATTTAATTTATCAATGAAAGATATGTATTTTTCTTTTTACTTTTAAGTGATTTTAGAAATAGAATGTAGATATATACTATAAATTCAATCCCTATACAATATCTCTTAATGAAATCAAACTATAAATACAAAAAATTGGAATATTCTTTTATATTATCATACCACAAATAAAAAACATTTCGATGGCATTATTAGCTAATTAATGTTTCGTGACATTACCTCTTTGACGGCAGTGGTATAGCAAGGATGACAATAGGACCTGAAGGAGTCCCCACGACACTGTAATATGATGTTGACGGAATCTGGAGCCTCGCCATGAGAAACATGTACGAAACCGCTTGCAAGATCATTTTCAGCGACATAACGGTTGAGAACGTTGAGGTTTTTCTCATACATACCACCATGCTTGTATTTCCCTTCACTGACGAAGCATTTGTGGTTAAGATACTCATTGGTTAGGTTTAGTGATGAAACGCTGCGTAGGAGGAGAAGTTGCATGGCCAAGATAGGGACATTAACTAGGCGTTTGGATAGAGAATATGAAGAGTTCATTGTTATGGATTTTGATTTCTTTTGGATGAAGGAAACGTTGAGATTGAGATGTGTTTTATGTAGGAGACTCTTGAAGGAATTTAGCTGATTGGTCTCATTAGTAACTTGATTAACTAGTTATCTTAAAACTGTATTATTTTCTACTGACCTTATACAAAATTCTGTTGATCATTTCAGTTTGTGGAAGACATGGTTTGCTTTTGTTTGTAACAGACAAGAAAGAGAGGAGAGTTTGAGGTTTTTTTTCGGCGAGAGATGGGGAGGGCCGATGAAAAAGTCAAAAAGTTCAAAATGTTAAAACTCTTAGAAAATGGAATCACACAATACAAAACTTGTTGTGTGTGCACCACTAGTTTTGAGCTAGCAGCAATTAGCTTATCTTTCATGCATAATAATCATGTGAAACTAGGTAATGGGGTAGGACATATATTTAATGCATAAACATTCTTCTCAAATATGCATATTAATTACAACCACAATTGTTTTATGTAGATTCTCTATAACTTTTTTTTTTTTGCATCTTTTTCTCGAACATGTTAACTAATTTAGGCTTGCGGAGTTAACGGATTGAACCTAAAATAACATAATTTTTACGTAGAGTTATTTTGCCGAAACAGTTCCGTTTTGAACATTTCTTCTTCAGTCAAGGAAGAACGACGAACATACTAATCTTCCGTTAAAGTAATTGCAATGGTCAAAGCTCTAGATCTGATTACTGATTAGACTAAACGTTTTTGTAAGGTTTGGTTGAAATCTTTTTCCAAGCAAAATTGAAACCTCAAAACAATATAAAATGTCCGAAAGTATTTTAATTTTACTCCTTCATCCTAAGTTTCTTGAAATTTATTTTCGTAAATAGCTTTAACCCAATTTTTTGAAATCATTTGGCAAAACCAAAAAAGTTTATCTTTTATGTGATTAGCTTTTTAGTTAACAACGTGTAATATGCGGATTTGAATATAGTAGGGGACATTAACAAAATTATTAGACAATCGTCCTAGTCTATTTGGATATTTCATAATGGAGAAAATCAAACAATTTGCTTTAAACAAAACAGAAGAGTATATCTCTTTTGATTCAGCTAAGAAATGACTGAAAGACCAAAGAAAATAATGTAGTCATGTAGATCACATCAAATGACGTTGCGGAAAAGTATACTGCGGGAAAATGTTTTGAGTGTTTTGTATTTCATTTTAAATCATCAAAAGTTATTTGTAAATAATTAAGAAAGACTGAATACATAACAAAGTTTTAATTAGGCCTAAACAAACAAATGTAAAGTACAACGGATAGGTAATTTCTTTTCTTTTTTTATTCTTGTTGTTAAATGTTTAAAATAAGAGACTTATAAAATAAATAAAACCAAAACAAAACAAAAAGTTGTCAAAACAATGTTGTTCTGCACCAACATCAAAGAGTCATTTTAAGTCCTAAGAAAAGGATATAGCTCATACCTAAGATTACAATTCGTACCCAAAACTCTCGCTCCCTGTTTACCGTCACAACACTTGGGAAGCCGCTTGATACTCCATTCCAAACATAGCCTGCAGTCAGCTACGTCTTTCACACACTCCACCATTGCATACACTTTTCGCGTACCGATTCTCTCCTCTCCTACCGCATAATATAACAACTCGACGCCATCCGGGCCTTCCTTATCAGCTTCCCCGATCAGCCGTTGTAATAAATCTCTTGTCTTCTTGTTGAACGACTTTGTATCCCCCTTCACATTGTTTGTGTTATGCATTGAGAAAGTATTCTGATAATTCATCTTCCTTGGGACGTGTTCATTGATCATACTAATATCGAGAAAACATTGGTCGTACCATATTATCCCCCCTTTATTTCTCGGACATCTCTTACGAAACTGTCAAAAACATATACATAGTGGTTTATTTCCAATGATGCTTCAATGCCAACATATGTTTTTTTTTCCAAAGAATAATGCTTTGCAACTTTTTTATATAACTATTTTGTAAAATAAAATAAAAAATCAACTAAAACTTTATCGCTACTAAGATGTAAATTAGTGACCCCTATTCAAAATTGTAATTATGAGTTTTGGTTTCCAATAACTATTTATCTTTAAGCTCTAATGCGGTGTTATATGGGATAATGTTGAATTGGCTGTTACGTTACCCCGGCCACGGCAGTGTCATAGCAGGTTCGACAGTTTGACTTGTGCGTGTCCCCGCGACACTGGAATATGATGGTAGTGGAATTGCGACCCTCACTACTAGCGCTATGAATAAAACCGCGTGTAGATGTATCGTCGGCGTTGAAACGTATGAGAGAGTTGAGGTCTTTTTCGTATTTACATCCTGGCTGGTATTTTCCTTGGTCAACCCGGCATTTGTGGTTAAGATACTCGTTCGTAATATTCAGGGATGAAACGCTGCGTATTAGGAGTTGTATAGCCAAGATATGGAAAGAAACGAGGTATTTGCATAGAGAATATGAAGAGTACATTGTGATTTTTTTTGAGTATCAATGAATGGGATTAAGATGTTTTTTGGAGGCTTAGAAGGATTTTAGCTTATTGAAACACATTGGTAACTGGATTATTAACTATTTATCTGAAAACAACATTCTCTCTCTTTTGGTTACTTTATACAAAATTCTATTGTATCATTTGAGTTTGGTTTCAAGAAATGTTTTTTTTCTTCTTTTTCTTATGTAACAGACGAGAGAAAGGGTTGGGTATTTTTCGGCGAAGGGTGAGGATAGCCAATTGAAAAGTCAAAATTTTATGTGTTTTACTAAATTATTTTTTTTTAGAGAAAAGGAATCACCACAAGTTTTATATATTGAAGGAGCAAGGTATTGGGGATTTGTTAAACTGTATCTTTTTTTTGAAATATTAACTTGATTTTGGGATTAAGTACTTAACTATTTGGTCAATGATCCAATTATCACTTGTTGGGCCAACTCCAAAATTTGATGAAATTTTTAAAGTCTCTTTAAAATTGTTTTCCCCCTTTCTCCACCTCTAAATATTATAGAGAATAAAAATCAAGAATTCTAGAAAATATTTAGTTCTGGATGATATAGTTACATGCATCATTTTCCTTCTATTTATTTCATATTTTGACGGTCGTTAGACCAAAGTAAGTAATTTTTTGCCTTTTTATAATATCCGCCCAAAAATTCTTTCAGTCACTAGTACAACATCACACAAAATATTATATCGTACATTAAGTAAGAGCTTATTTGCATAAGTATGCAGCTCACATGGAATGATGTACACAGTATAGAAGTATTCATTATGTGGGTAAATGTTGGTTCTTTTTGTATATCAACGTTTGATCAATTTTGAAAATATATATGGAAATAAGAATGAAACAGAGGAGAAGAAAGCTTTCGTCCCTAAAACCAAAAATATGGTAAAAAGCTTAGAAAAACTAGAAAGGTAGCAAAACCAAAACAAATTTGGAAAGCCGTCAAGATTCTGCATCATCTCATCAACGAGTCTTTCAAGTCCTAAGAAAAGGGTATAGCTCATACCTAAGATTACAACTCGTAGTCAAAACTCTCCCTCCTTGTTTACCATCGCAACACTTAGAAAGCTGCCTAATACTCCATTCCAAACAACCTTTACAACTTCTTATATCTTTCGCACACTGAACCATTCCATACAATGTTTTCTTCCCAAGTCTCAGTTCCCCTGCTGCGTAGTATAGAAAGTTGATGCCATCTACGTCGGTTGTATCAGCTTTTACAATCAAGTTATGGAGGAAATCAGTGGTCTTTTTGTTGAACGAGTTTGTATCCCCTTTCATGTTGTTTGGGCTGTGCATAGTATAAATATTCTCGTAGTTCATCAGTCTTGGGGCATGTTCATTAATCATACTCACATCAAGAAAACATTGGTCGTACCATATTGTACCTCCTTTGTTTCGCGGACATCTTCTACGAAACTGTAATAGACATATACATATGTATTTTGGTATGAAGTGTGAGATGAACCATACAGGAGATCAATTGTATGCGAGGTAAATCAACCAAATGATATGATATAAAATATATGTATAATTCAATGATATGTATATACCAATATACCATCATATTTAATGTTATGGTATTTAGAAGGTTCAGTATAATAATTTTAAGATAAGATAACCTAGTACATTTATTTTAATAAAAAGAATCAAAGAATTATTATAACCTTTTTCTAACTAGTGAGATATGCCTTTAATATTTATAACCAAGTAACCTTTTCTTGGACGTCAACGCTTCCCACACCATAAATTTGGTTATTATGTAACATGTGTTTTGGTTTCTTATAGTCAATTTTCTTTTGGCTTTAATGAAGTGATTTACAAAGAACAACAAGATATAGACTATAAATTTAAAAATGTTAAAGTAACAATACCCCGGCGACGGCGGTGGCATAACATGAGGCGCACTTGGACTTGTAAGAGTCACCGCGACATTGAAATATGATGGTGATGGAATTGGTATCCTCACCATTAGATGAGTGTTTGAAGCCATCTATAAACCTATCGGCAGAAACTCTACGGATGAGAGAGTTGAGATCTTTCTCGTACTTACTTCCCGGCTGATATTTTCCTTGACTAACGCGGCAGTTGTGGTGAATATACTCATTAGTAAGATTCAAGGATGAAGCTCTGTGTATGAGGAGGAGTATAGTCAATATATGTAAAGAAACAAGGCATTTTGATAGGGAATACAAAGAATACATTGTTTTGGATATTTCTTCTATTTTGAGAGAGACAATAGGAATTTAGCTGATTCGTCTCATTAGTAACTATATTAACTATATTTCTCAAAGCTATATTTGTTTTTGTTTATTTCAGTTTGTAAAAGAATTGTCTATAATAGATACGAGAGAGAGATGAGTTAGGCGAGGGATGTGGAAACCAGATGAAATAGTCAAAGTTCAAAGTTTTACTAAGTTAAAAGTCTAGAAAATAGGACCGAAACAATGTGTTTGGATATTCAAAGGGTAACAACTATTTTCGTCGGCCAAACTATTTTTGATGCATCATTGAGGAGGTTGGATGATTACACAGGATGGTGTAGTGAGATGGGGTTATAATTTATTTGAGGATTGAGGCTGTAAACATATATATAGTAGGATCACAAGTGGGGAGGTTGCATATCTTCAAGCTTTTAGTTGGTGTTCATTGCATTGATATATATATGGTTGTGGGAGATCATTTTAATGGCACTTTGTTTAAAATAGAAGTTGGTCGGGAGCAATAAATCTAACGTAGTTTTCAGATTGTGTAACAATGACTAGATATTATCATTGTAAAGATTAACTTAAAACGAAATTTTGTATAGTGAATAAACACTTGATGCTTTCCAACTAATAAATGGAAGGTTGTTGTTGTTCAAGTTCTTTACACTTGTAAACGTATTAATATAAGGTTGCCGAAGTATTTTGATAACGCGGGTAAATGTAGATTTTTAAAAAGTTTGCTATAATTTTAAGTACTTATCTGGAGATAAGAAACGAAGATTGGAGAAGAAAGATATCGTCTCTGTGAGGAATAACAATGTTTTTGACTAAGAAAAATAAAAAATGTTTTAGTCTGTAACCAAGGACATAGCTAGACAACACAAATAAGCAAACCAGGAAAAAAGAATGGTCTAAGGCTTAAAAAAAAGAGAATTACCAAAGTCAAGAAAACCAAAACAAAATTGGAAGTTCAATAGAATGTGTTATGCATCATCCTCAAAGAGTCTTGTAGGTCCTAATAAAAGGGTATAGCTCATACCTAATATTACAACTTGTGCCCAATATTCTAGCTCCTTTTTTACCGCCACAACACTTAGAAAGCTCCTTGATACTCCATTCCAAACAAACCTTACAACTCTGTATGTCTTTCGCACACTGCACCATTGCATACACTTTGTTCGTTCCAATTCGCATTTCCTCTGCTGCGTAATATAAAAAGTTTACGCCATCCTTGTCGGGTTTATCAGCTTTAGCAATCAGCTTGTAGAGGAAATCCCTTGTCTTCTTGTCAAATGCCTTTGTATCCTCTCTCACGTTGTTTGGGTTGTGCATTGGGAATGTATTTTCATAATTGAGCTTCCTTGGCATTCGGTCATTTATCATACTAACGTCGAGAAAACATTGGTCGTACCAAATTATCCCCCCTTTGTTTCTCGAACATCTCCTATGAAACTGTCAAATTATCCATATATGTTTTATTTAAGGATTATCAATATTTCCATTAAATGATAATATGCAATATTGTAACATTTGATGCGTATGACCTGGCTCAAATTTGTGTCACCTAGTTCTTATGTGAGTTTTGTTTTTTCTATAGTTATTTCTCCTTTTATATTGACATAGTGTTATGCAGTGTACCACACGATAAATTATATGAAAAGATGTTAAAGTGACATTACCCCAGCAACGGCGGTAGAAAAGCAGGAGCGACAGTTGGGGCCGTGAGAATCACCGCGGCACTGGAATATGATGGTGACATAATTAGGAGGCTCACCATTAGAAATGTGTATGAAACCAGTTGGAAATTTATTGGTAGAGAGGTCACGGGTGAGAGAGTTGAGGTTTTTCTCGTACTCACTTCCGGACTGGTATTTCCCTTGATTGATGCGGCATTTGTGGTGCAAGTAATCATTGGTAAGATTTAGGGATGCAACATTGCCTATGAAAAATAGTTGTATAGCCAATACATGGAGATAAACAAGGTGTTTCAATAGGGAACATGAATAGTACATTGCTTTAGGTTTATGTATCGTACAAATTAAAGAGGTGTTTTTATTTATCAAAAAATGGAAGTTTTGAGATTGAGATGTTTATATAGGAGACTCAGGAATTTCTTAAGCTGATTGGCTTCATTAGTAACTAGATTAACTAATTACCTAGAGATAATATTCGGTTTTTGGTTTCCTCAATACAAATTTCGATTGTTTATTTCACTTTTGTAGGAAATACGTTTTGTTGTCTGTAACAGACATGAAAAGGTGGTTGGGTATTTTACGCCGACAGATGGGGACGGCCAATGAAAAAGTCAAAGTTTAAATATTTTTAAGTTAACTATCTTAGAAATTAAGAAAATATAAATCACACGATACAAACTTTTTTACCACTAGTTTTGAGCAATGAGCAAAAAGATTTTGGTTCTCTATGGATTTCCTCTGAAAAAGGGCTAACCCCCAAGAGGATTGAATAGCACTTTGTCTCACGATTTAATTCGACATTTCTAACAAATGTTGTGTCATTCATCAGATATGTATTTTTCCTTCTAGTTCTATAATGGCAAAAATAAATTGTATCGCAAGCAACTAGATTTGTTATGTTTTACATTTTCTTTGTTTGTGCATGACACCATGAGATAAGAAATATCGGTTCAAATCGAGAGATAAAAACTTATATTTGTTTGTGCATGACACCATGAAAATTCAGATATTTGTTTAAGTATTTATACATTAATTTTTGAAGATGTGTTTAGGCTATACTTCATGTGTTTAACAATTATTTTCGCTTTAAGAGAAACCATACCCAATCAAAACAATGAGATGGTAAATAAAATAAAAATGTTATTGTATGCTGACCTCCTCCTTATGTATGCTCTATTTAAGCAAACAAAACAAAAAAACAGAGGGGCAACATAAATAAAACCAAAATAAAATTGGAAGCTGTCAAAAGCATATGTTGTGAATCATCATAAAAAAAAATCTATTAAGTCCTAGTAAAAGGGTATAACTCATACCTAACATTACAACTCGTACCCAAAACTCTAGCTCCTTGTTTACCCTCGCAACACTTGGAAAGCTCCTTGATACACCATTTCAAACAAACCTTACAATGAAATATGTCTAATGTACACTGCACCATTGCATACACTTTATTCTTCCCGAGCACCTTCTCCCCTGTCGCGTAATATAGCAAACCGCTACCATCAGCTTTGGGTTTATCCGCCTTCAGCGCCAGCTCGTAGAGAAAATCCTTCATATTTTGATCGAACAACTGGGTATCCCCGTTGACGTTGTTTGGGTTGTGCATAGGAAAAGTATTCTCGTAATCCATCTTCGTTGGAGGGGTATTGATTGTACTAACTTTGAGAAAACATTGGTCGTACCATATTATTCCTCCTTTGTATCTTTGACATCTCTTCCTAAACTGTCATATACATATCGATATATGCTATAAAGTTTCATATTCAACGTACTAATCAAATCGTTATTACTATGCATAGTAAAATCATAAGAAAAACAAATGTTTGCTGTTATATGTATAAATATATGATGACTAGTTAAGAAGTGACATTACCCCGGCGACTGCGGTGGCATAGCAAGAACCACATTTAGACCCATAGGAATCGCCGCGGCATTGGAAGACGATGTTGACGGAATTAGGAGCGTCACCATGAGATGTGTGTTTGAAACCATCCCGAAAATGATAGGTGGAAATGTGATCGATGACATGATTAAGGTTTTCCTCATACGCACTTCCCTGCTTATATTTCCCTTGACTAGCAAGGCATTTGTGGTGCAAATAAGCATTGGTAAGATTCAAAGATGAAACGCTACGTATGAGGACTTGTATACACAAGATATAGAAACAAACCAGCAATTTAATTAGAGAATATGATGAATACATAGCTTTAGATTTATTTTTTATTTTTTTTGAGGGGGTGTTTTTAGATAAATGAAGCGTTGTTATTGAGGTGTTTAAAAAGGAGACTCGGAAGGTTTGTAGCTGACTGTCTTCTTTAGTAACTAGATTAACTAATAATCTCAAAACGTTTTTTATTTTTTCTTTTGTTTTCTATCATAGGAAAGAGAGAAGATTTTAAGTATTTTTCGGCGAGAGATAGGGAGGGCTGATGAAAAAGTCAAAAATGTTTAAATGGTTTACTAAGTTAAAACTTTTAGAAAACGTCAAAGAAATCTCTCTCCCCGCTGTACAAGAAGGAAAATAAGATTATATATACAAGGATCATTAAGACCAGTCAGATTTAAACATTATGGACAGGATGATGAAGCCTCGTTGCAATAAAATTGATTTATGTAATGGCCATTGTTATCTTATATGATGGTGCAATTGTCACAGTGGCTGCGTTAAGAAGCGATCATATGAAAATGCAAAAAAGACAGTACAAAAGTATATGTGTTCACGTGATGTAGAGAAAATTGTGGATATAATATATGATTAATAATAATAATAATAATCGTTCGTTTTTAGTATACATTTTCAAATGTGTGTTATTGATAATAATAAAATCGTATTCCTTTTTAACATATAAATATAAATTCACATATTGTACGTCAGCAACAAAAATTTGCATAGTTTTTTAATTAATAAGGTACATTTGATCAAATTATACGGTGGTATATGTTATACCTCCTTAATAATAATAAAATCAAATGGTAAATAGATAACAGATCTTGAAACCTTATTTATAAAAGAAACTTTTTTAATTACTAAAAAAGGAAAGTTGTCAAGAGATGTGTGTTGCATCATTCACCAAACAATGTTTAAGTCCTGAGAAAAGGATATAACTCATACCTAAAGTTACAACTTGTGCCCAAAACTCTTCCTCCTCGTTTACCGTCGCAGCATTTGGGATACTCACTGATAATTCTTTCCAAACACTCTTTACACAGCGTCTTAAACATGAATACATCTCTCGTACACTGAACCATTGCGTACAACTTCTTTGTCCTGATCATCTTCTCCCCGGCCGCATACAGTGCCATCATTCTCCCTTCCATGTTGTCTTTACGGTTTGCTTCCAACATCAGCTGTTTGAGGAAAGCAATTGTCTCCATGTTGAATGACTTTGCATCGCCACTTACATTGTTCGGATTGTGCATATAAAAATTGTTCTTGTAACTGACCTCCATGACCTCAATTGCAGTAATCTCGACAAAACACTGGTCAAACCATATGATTCCACCTTTGTTTCTCAAACATCTCTTACGAAGCTGTCATTTACAATTAGTATATATGTCAACAAAAAAATCAAGAACATTATACTATCAATACTGTCTCAGTCAAAGAACCAAAACAAAGTATCATGTTTGTTTTTTCCTTTCAAAAGTTAATATAACAAAGTACTTATGACAAGTAAAGAAACGTAAAATTCCAAAATTAACTATATATTCACTAACGATAAATTATTGATTTTTTCACTAAAGATACAACCAATCTTTTAAATTTCTCATATATTATTATAATAATATACAAATCAATCCCATATTTTACAGATTCCTCTAAAATTTATGTGTTTGCGAAACGTAAAAAAAATCTTTGAGAAAATGTCTTTGCAAATATGGATAAGTGATACTGAACATTGAATATATATAAAAGGGATATTGAATATAAGTGACATTACCTCGGAGATGCCGGCGGAAAAGCATGAGCGGCACTTGGACTGGTAAGAGTCTCCGCGGCACTGGAATATAATGTTTACCATATTGGGAGTTCCCATAGCAGTTGTCACATGACCAAACCCATCGCGAAAATCTGAGTTAACAAGCAATTTGATGTGAGAGTTAAGGTTTTTCTCGTACTGGCTTCCTGGCTTATACTTCCCTTGATTGACGAGGCATTTGTGGTGCAAATACGCATTGGTTAGGTTCAGTGTTGGATATGGGCAATAGCCCTTAGGTATTAGTGGACACAAAACATAAGCCCATGGAATAAAAGAGGGCCTTCCTTATGCTTAAAAGCCCATCAAGCTCCCGAGGGCAAAATCGTCATTCGCAAGGGAGACACAAGTAGTTTCTAGGTTTCTGTGCCACTATAAATGCATTGAATCATTGCTTGGAACAGGGGGGGATCCAGAGGATATTAACCAGAGAACAAGAGAATCGCTGCCTAGCCACGACACTCTTGCGTTTTGTCCAACTGTTTCGTAGAATTGCGATTGAGCCACCCGCTCTCTCGCGTTTGTCTTTCCATTTCGTAAAGGTTCCTGGCTCGGCAGATAATCTATAACTGTCGTAGCAGGACCTACTATTGTAACCCCGGATCTCGTTTAAACGTTAATAAAGGAATTGGTTTCGTATCGTCCCCAAACTCTCGTATTATTGTTATCACCTCCCGTGTACAAACATTCAGGGAAGAAACATTGCGTATAAGGAGCAGTTGTGTGGCCACTAAGGCTGGGAAAATGACCAAAACGAACCGTTTTGATAAACAATATAAATTTTGCATGGTTTTTGGTTAGTTTTGATTCTTTTTGGAAGACTAATATTGGGATGTTTGTATATATAGGAGACTCAAAAGGATTTTAGATGAGTGGATTCATTACTAACTAAATTAACTAAACAGTAAAATCTTTTCTGGTTGCCTTATACTAATTGGATGTTAACATTACAATTTTCAGAGGAAGCGTTTGTTTTGTCACTATAACAAATAGGAGAGATGATTTGAGTATTTCGGCGAGGGATGGGGAGGGCTGATGAAAAGGTCAAAATGTCAAAGCCTTTACTAAATTAGAACTTGTTAGAAAATAGAATTAGTACTATGCCGACCTTTGAAGTGTGCACCACTTGTTTTGTGCTAGGATCAACATGATTTTTGCTGTTGGGATCTTGTGACGCTGTTTCAACTTTCATACGTAAGTCTCTCATTTTTGTATTTTCTATTTATTAGGTTTTGATTAATTCAAACTTGTTTAATTTTAATCTTATGTCTTCTGACCAAAAGACATAAATCTATGTTTTAAATCAAAGCTTTCACAAGTCACTCGCTTATTACTTTCGAAAGATGTCAAGAATGACGTATTTTGGGATCTTATATTCATAGCTAACGTCTGAGTTAATAACCAAATCAAAGAGTCAAGAATAATGCTTGGGATCTTGTTCATTGGCACACTTCGGATCAAAACAAGGGATAGTGAAGAAAAAGATAAATAATAAAAGCTCAAAAACCAGAACTGCGAGAGAGTTAGCAAAACAGAAGTAAAATAAGAAATTTGTTAAGAGAAACTGTTCTTCAACGTCATCAAATTGTTGGTGAATCTGAATTCCTTAGAAAAGGGTAAAGCTCATACCTAAAATCACAGCTCGTACCCAAAACTCTCCCTCCTTGTTTACCATCGCAGCACTTAACATACTTCTTGATAATGGTTTCCAAACACTCTTTACACATCTTGGGCGTAACTAGATCTCTCATACACTGAACCGTTGCATAAAGTTTCTTTGTCCCGACCCTCTTCTCCCCTGCTGCGTACAGTGCCATCTTGCCGTCGTCCATGTTGTCTTTACTGTTTGCTTTTAGCGTTAGCTCTCCGAGGAGTGCCATTGTCTCCTTGTAGAATAACTTTCTATCGCCACTTACTTTTTTCGGGTTATATATGGCGAAATTGTTCTCGTAATAGATCTTCCAGATGTCGAGGTCGATGCTAGGGATTGAAGTAATCTGGACAAAACATTGGTCGAACCATACTATCCCACCTTTGTTTCTCGGGCAACGCCTACGAAGCTGTCATGTACATTATAAATTAGTTAAAACATGTTTCAACCTGTTTAAAAATAGTTAATACATTATATTATAAAAGGATATAGCAACTATAAAAATAGAAACTACATAATTATTGTGCTTCTAATAAATTATGCAACTATATTAGAAAATAATATCTTAGATTACTATTAGAAAAATAGAAATCCCTATTTAAAAATGGAAGAGCGTTAAATATTATGAAATATTAAACAATAGCGGAATCACGATTTAATAACATGAACAAATGATATCATCTTTACTGACAATTCTAGCTACCTAATTTTGACACAAAATGCCAACATTCCCAAAAATAATTTGCAATAATAAGACAGAGAGATCATAGACTGTTGAATTTTAACTGTAATTAAATTGACTTTTGAGCATGAATATATATATCCAATGCTTTTTATCTATCAAAATAAAAGACGTTTAAGGCTTTACACACAAATTAAAAAAAAAAAATTTTTAAAGATATATATATTATTTATCATCTACCTAAAGGTAATTCAACAACTAATAACATAAACTGCCTAATACAAATAACCACGGAACATAAAAGAAATCAATCTATTAGTTTGTATTAAAACCTAAAACATAAAACATTAATTATTTCAAACAAAATGTTTATGGCAAAAAACATCATTTAGTATGATATATAGAATGTAACATTACCCCGGCGATACCAGCAGAATAACAAGAGCGGCACTTAGACCCATAGGAATCACCGCGGCACTGGTATATGATGGTTGCAGCATTGGGTTTCCGACCACTTGTCATGTGCATGGAACCTGAGCGAAAAGTTGAGGTTGAGAGAGTACGAATGTGATCGTCAAGGACATCCTCGTAGTCGCTTCCCGGCTTATATTTTCCTTCACTAACAAGGCATTTGTGATGCAAATACTCGTTGGTCAGGTTTAGGGATGAAACATTGCGTATAAACACGAGTTGTATGGCCACCACCGCTAAGAAACGGACAAAAACGAGACGTTTTAATAGAGAACATGAAGAGTACATATTGTCTTGCTTATTGTATAGAGAATATGAAGGAGTTTAGTTGTTTGGCTTGTATAACTAGATTAGCTAATATTTTTTCAAAAGAGTATTCCCTTGGCTATATACAAAACTTGATTTTATTAATTTAGTTTTGGAGAAGAGTTTTTTCTTTGTGTGTGTGTGTGTAAGAAGAACAAGAGAAAGGAGTTCGGTATTCTCGGCGAGGGATGTGGAGGGCATATGAAAAAGTCAGAGTTCGAATACTTTACTAATTAAGTTAAAACTCAGAGAAAATTAGAATCACACAATACCAACACTTCGGTGCATGCACCACTGATTTTGTGCAAGGAACAATAGAACTTTGGTGCTCGGAATTTTGTTAAGCTATCTCATACCCAATTGCAAATAGCTCATATTTACTGTTCCAAAGATTTTGCAATTTATTTTCTTGTACGCATCTTTTGCTTTTGCACATCACTTTTTGTGGTCCGTTACTGCAAAAAATTATGAAATTTAATTTGCCAAAAAAAATACTTAAAATTTTATGTACTTATTTCAGGTTAATTTCTCTCATAATGTAAGAGTTTAGTAAACCTTTTATGAGCTATGTGGTATAGACTTCTTCTTTGTGAAATGGTCCTTTTTAATTTAATAGACCTTTTACTTTTTTCTTTCTTTTTTTCGAAATATAGACCTTTACTAAACACTCACATTACTGATTTATACACCTAGATAAATTATTTACTTATAGTCTTCCTTTTAATAAATTATGCTGAGAAAAGCAAAAATACAAAACAAATAGCAAAGTTGAAAGTAAAATAATTTCTCAAACCACTTATTAAAACGCAACATAATGTATGTAAAAGACCGTACGTATTCCGGTCCCAAGCCCTTTCATTTGATATGGAGCTCTCATCGTACCGTCCCTAGTTTCTAAGAAAAGGATATAACTCATACCTAAAGTTACAGCTTGTACTTAAAACTCTTCCTCCTTGTTTACCGTCACAACATTCTGGAAACTTTTTAAAAACCCCTTCCAAACACTCAAGGCACTTTGTAAATATTAAGTCTTTTGTACACTGCGCCATTGCGTAGACCTTTTTTGTCCCAATTCTCTTTTCTCCGGCCGCATACAACACCAACTGTTTGCCGTCTAAGTTGTTCCTATCGGAGGCTTTATATGCCAACTTCTTTAGGAGAGCCAACGTCTCCTTGTTAAACATCTCTCGATCCTTGACATTTTTTGGATTGGACAAATAGATATCGTTCTCGTAGTCAATCTTATTGAAGGAGCCGACCGAAGATATCTTTAAAAGACATTGGTCATACCATATTATTGCTCCCTTGTTTCTTGGACATCTCTTGCGAAGCTGTCGTCATATGCATATTCATAAATATAAACACAACGGTCAAGAACAATATTGCATTGTTTAATCCTAATTTAAAGTCGTCTATCAGTCTTTTCTCAATTCATTTATTTATGTAATAAACTATCTAGGATTTAGCAAACAAAAACTGATTTGTGTAGCTTGTGATTTTATATTTAAACGTCAGCTCATTAATACTATGGAAGTCATTGTTACCCCAGAGACGGCAGTACTGATGCATGGTGGGCACTTGGACCAGTAGGAGTCTCCGCGGCATTGGAACTTTACAAATACGTTATTTGGAACCTCACCTTCTTCAGTATAGCGGAAACCGTCACGAAAATTGCCAACCGAGGTGAGAGTGCTGAGGACTAAGTTGAGATTTTTTTCGAATGCACTCCCCTGCTTATAATTTCCTTCGGTGTTGCTGCATTTGTGGTCCAGATACTCATTAGTAAGGTTCAAAGAAGAAACGTTGCGTATAATAAGAAGAAGTTGTATGGCCACCATGACCAATATAGGAACAGATCCAAAGGCTGAAAACATTGTTTGAATGTTAATTTATATAGGAAACTCGAGGGACTATGGCTATGTAGATATGGTTTTACAATCGCTGGAAGCTAAATAAGTTGTCATTTTTTTTGTCACACTCAACAGATACCAATTGATCATTTCAATTTCTGAAATGAATAAAAAAAACTTTTATGTAAGAGAGGAGAGAGGACTTGAGCGTTGAGACTTAGTATTTGCGGCGAGGAGACAGGAGGCGATGAAAAAGTCAGAACTGAGAGGTTTGTCTGATTTTTTTTTTTTTTGAACACCAGTTTTGTCTGATTTAAATTACATAAAACGTTCGGTGTCCACCTGAAATGAAGGCAGTGTTAAGTTGTTACTTTAACGATATGGACGATCCTCAGTTAATTTCGAAAATAACATCAACCATTCCTATCCAAAATCCTTTTTTTTTAACTTCATTTTTTTTTAATTAGCTTACAAGAGCTTTTGCTACCTTAATTATTTAACGTTTAATTATCAAATGCTTAAAATATCAAATATTTTATGTAAGTTTAGTTTGAATTATTTTATTCATAGAATGTTTATCATATTCTTTTTGTCTGAAATAAAATCTCTTCTAGTATTGGAGAATGATTAGCAAATTAATATTTTCAAATCAAATACTAGGTCTATAGGACTAAAACAAGTGAAAGGAAAAAAAATGTGTATATATGATAGATGACTAAAACTTTGCCAATTTGAGTCAGATGTTAGTTATCTATCTAATCATAATTGACTCAGAAAAAAAATTGATGAAGTGAGAAAATACTAAACCACCGGTACTTTTTCAAATTTGGCCTCATTTTTTTTAGGATTATGTCGTTAAGGTACTATCCGTCGAATTACTTTGTGTAAAACCTAAAACACTTTCTGCTTCTTTGAACTAAAGAAAATATACAAAAGAAATCACAAGGAGAAAATAGTACATTTATTCACTCAAAACATGTATTAAACGTAACCCAATGTATAGCTATGGACCCTTTACAGTCAATATGAAGGCCTCGTACTGTAGTCTATATAGTCGTTAATTTCTAAGAAAAGGGTATAACTCATACCTAAAGTTACAACTCGTACCCAAAACTCTCCCTCCTCGCTTACCATCACAGCACTCTGAAAACATCTTGAAAATCCATTCGAAACACGCAGCGCAAGATGTAGTCACTAAGTCTTTCGTGCACTGCACCATTGCATACACCGTCTTCGTTCCAATTCTCTTATCCCCTGCCGCGTAAAGCACAAACTTATTGTTTTTCATGTTATTTTTATCGGTGGCTTTATCTGTTAGCTCCACCAAGAGAGCTGACATCTCCTTGTTGAACAACTCCTTATCGCTCACGTTGTTCGGGTTGGACAAATAGAAATCGTTCTCATAATCAATCTTGTTAAAGGAGTTGATGGTAGTTATCTCAACAAGACATTGGTCATACCATATTATTGCCCCCTTATTTCTTGGACATCTCCTACGAAGCTGTCATAGACATATCCATATATGTCAACAACGATATTGCATAGTTTTACCATCATGCCTTTTTTTTTTTTTTAGCTAGTCACAATCTTTCTATTCTATATAGTTTATTAAAGCCTTAGATTTCTATCAGTTTTGTCTCAATTCAACCAAAAAGTTAGAGAATCAGCATCTCCAGACAAATCTCTAAGATTTTAACGCAAAACAAAGGTGGCATGTGTATGTACTTGCAATTTTCCATGTAAATGTATGACTGTTAATTTAATAATATTGAAGTGACATTTACCTCAGAGACACCAGCGTCTACGCAGGAGCGACACTTGGATCCGTAAGAGTCCCCGCGGCATTGGTACATGAGGAAGACTTTATTAGGATCCTCACCTTTCTCGATGTAGCCGAAACCATTGAGAAAATTGTTTGAATCGCTGCTACGGATGGCTAAGTTGATATTTTTCTCAAATGCACTCCCCTTGCTATATTTTCCTTGGGTGTTATTACATTTGTGGTGCAAATATGCATTTGTAAGGTTAAGTGACAAAACGCTAGGTATAAGGAAGAGTTGTATTGCCACCACAGCCATGATAGGGACCAACCCAAAATTTGACGACATTGCTTCGGATAGCTTTGATATTTTATCCGGGGAGAGTTTTTATCATTAGATAGATTATTAGAGTGAAAATGTTTAAAAGTTGAGATGTTGCTGTAATTACGTTTTCCTTTATTTGGTTGCGTTAAAAAAACAATTCACTCTCTACTAAATCTAAAACATAAATTGTTTTGTCTGTAGACAGGAGAGAGGGCTTGGACGGCAAGACTTGGTATTTGCGGCGAGGGAAGTGGAGCGCCAAAGAAAAAGTCATAGTTCGAATTTTGTGTGTGTGTTTTTAATCACACAATATGTTCAGTCGTAACCTAATATTAAGGCACTTTTAATTTGTTACATATATAGTCCATATAATTAATGAACATGAATATTTATAATTTTCAAAGCTAAATTCATTATATTCCAACAAACACATAGAGAGCCGAATCTCGAATTTAAAGGATTTGTGCTCTTGGTAATCGAACAGCCACATTGGTGAATTGACTTAATTAGTCATCTAAAAATCTGACTGAGATGAGAAACTGGATAATACTTTCTTGGGTTTTTGGCATTTTCTGATTAACACAACAACACTTGTTGATATCAACGCATTATCATATTTTAAGTTTAGGTAAGGGATAGATTTGAATTGGTTGTGTGACTTATTCTTGTAATAATTATCATTTGTTTCTTGGTCTGATATTTGTTTTTCAGTTTTAGCGTCAACGTACGTAGTGAGAAATTATGTTTTCAAATTAGTTTTTAGAAGTATATAAAATTAATGAAAGTATATCAAAAGAGAGATTTGGGTAAATCACCACTATTTTTACTCAATTTTTTTTTGTCGGCCACTATTTTTACTCATTAAATGGAATACTTATTCGTCAAAAATATATTAAAAACATATCTTAAAATAACGGGTGGATTGCGAAACTAACTCTTAAATTGTTGTTTATTACTGATTTGGATGGGAGAGAAACAATGTGAAAAATGGCTGTTTTGTCCTTCTGAACCAGTTGCAGGAATAAACGTAATTACGGTCGATGACATTAAAAAGAAATTCCACGTCGAAGAGAGAGAGCATTATTGGTGGAAAAAACTCCCGCCAACCGATAAGTCTACCAATTTAGTTATGGTAGACTTAAGGAGGATTATAGAATTTTGTAGTAGAGAGTATGATATTACACAGAGTTGTAAGTTAGAGATTTTTGTAGTGGTGGTAGATTGATTGAAATGACAGAGTTACCTAGTATAGTTACTTGTAATGGCGGTAGAGTTGGCTCAACTTTAGAGTTATCAAATAGGGTAATGGACTAATGGTATTGGCCGTAGATTTAGGACCAAAAGATAGTTAGAGTTATGGGAGCGATATAGTTTCCTCACAGAGTTGATGATAGTGGCGGGAGAGTTAACAGGATGATAGAGTTAGACAGCAGACTTAACTGCAGTGGTGGTAGAATTATAGTGGCCAAAACAGTATTTGTGAGCTCTCACACTTGATGGTAGACTTGTCCACGTTATGGTAGATTTACTTGTAGTGATGATAGAGTTCCGCTGACTAGAATAGCGTAAATTTGATAGAGTTAGTGTCTGCTGATAGAGTTGTATATCGAATCTCTATCATCACAGTACAGACTTGTACGATGGAGTTAAGAAAAGAAAATTTGAACTAGGGTTTAGTTAGGGCGAACCATGAGGCAAAATCTCGATTTTGCCCTTACAAATAATTTATATTACATCTAAAACCTAGCAATGACGACAGACTTACAATATTATTATAACTCTAGTATAGGCTCCGACTGGTAACACGAGTTATCAAAATTGAGTTGCAGTAAGTATTACGATTCGATGTAGGCTCCGACTGGTAACATGAGTTATCGAACTCGAGTTGCAGTAAATATTATGATTTGATGTAACTTGCAGTAAATATTATGTGGCAAAAACAACGGTTTGATTTAGTGAATCGCTGTAGAAATATGCTTTATTAATCTTACAAAATCATTGACTGGTGACATTTTTGTAGTAGATGTTGCAGTATGATGTTCATTAAATAAGTTTAATTTAATATAATTGATTATTATAAT